AAAAATCGAAAATTTCTTTCTACACCCTCTAACAACTCAACCATTGAATAATGCATCTTTAAAACATAATTTCGCTAGGTCGCTACTGCTTGTCGCTGTTTACCCAGGCGAATAAATAATATGAAAATAGACGAAGATAACTCGCGCCTCGACTCGATACACCTTCAATTTATTTTCGGCCGGGAAACGAGCCTTCCTTTCGGATATGCCACGAATCACGCGGAACACCCCGTATTTCACCGTGTCACAGGATCCCACGTAGCCGAAGCTAAACGAAACGAGGGTAAAGGAGAAATACCACGGCTCGGTTCACGCCGCACACGTCCACCCCGTTTCAGAATACCGACTTTCAACTCTCGCTTTAAATTGAAAGCCAACGCAGAATTACGACGGCGGTTCCAGCGACGAACGGTCCCGGAAAGACATTAACGGAGGCTTGATGCATACGAATACCGACACGGACGTTCGGTCGAGCCGGTAACGTGCTCGCGAAATCGTCGAAATCCCGAAAGAACAGGCGCGTCTGTCGTCGATGTCGCACGTCATAAATTTCGCGCTCGCATCTTAAACGCTCGTAACTAACATGGCGGCGCGCGATTTAGCCGCTTCCTGCTTTACGCGCGAGATGATTTACCTTCGAATTAATCCAAAATGGTCCCCACGTGTCGCGATCCGGCGGGGACGCGACGACAACGCGCGTATCTCAAAGGAATTCCTGGTAAATTGAAAATGATTCATTCGGTCGCCGATCCCTGGCTGGTTTCGACGACGTTAAATGGGTTGAGGGTTGACGTTGGCTCGAACACCAAGAAGAGCGTACAGGAACTCGAATTGGATTAATGATTGGTGATATAAATAATAATTGAGTTATTTAAACGCAGTATGGCGTCATCCTGCGAGGCAGTCGTCAAACCTTGAAGCTACTGTATGAATTTTAACATTTCTGCCAAGCTACTTGTTGAAATCTTATAGTTGATGTAATTCTTCGTTCAAATTCATAGTTTTATATGCACAAATGAAGAACAAGAATTTGAATTAATGCTTCGTCTTCAAAATACTGTAACATGTATATTATATTTTATAGAAAATATATTTCATGCTTTGCACATTTACACTTGTCACGAATGCATAAATATCTGCAATCTAGTTATCGTAAATGAAACTTGAACTGAATTATGTTGCATGTTATGTACATTGATCAAAGTTGCAAAGAAGCAGCAACGAAATTTATCATAGTCTTAATTTACAGGTCCGACACTTGACCATTGTTTTCTTATCAGTCGGTCTGGAATGAATTTCACAATATTGTACCATTAACGTGTGTGAATGATACGATCATACGTCTCTCGTGGCCGTTACAACCGATTTTCAAGAAATTGTTACCACACACTGACTACTCTTAAATAATTTCATCCCCACAACGATACACACACACACACATACTGTGACAGCGACCACTCGGTCGCGTCGACGTGCGCTCGCATTCCTCGAGTTCTTATTTTCCTAAACATTTCAATCTCACTCCGTCTCGGAAATTACTCTCGTTCCTGACACATAACCGGCAGGGCAGGTTGACCTAATTGATGCAACTGCGAAGGGAGCAACGGTTTTCATAAAGCCGAAGGGAAAACACTGCGTTGCTCTAACATCAATTTTGCATAAAACATTTGCGAGTACTTCAGACGATATCAGTAAACCGAAGGTTCCCTAGGACACGTTAAAAATATTTCTGATGGATGAAAAACCCCGTTACTTAATTTTAAACTAGTAAATGCGGAAAGAGTAAATACGATAGCATACATAATATAAATTATCTCTGTCGCATACCCTGAATTTTAGGATATAAGACATAATCCCCGTATGAAAACCTCTTTCCTCTGAAACTCTCTCAAAATCCTTATGAATTTCCGACTCTGTTTCACTCGCGAGTTAATAATTAACATTCCATGCTTGTTAACAACTTTGCAGATTGTTTTATTCCTTTCTCACGTGATACGCAGTTACCGTTTCCGAAGATTAATGCGTTCAATAAACCATACAGTCACAACCGTAAAAAACGAATACTAATGCTTCCAGAAAGCAGTTAAACGTTACACACGATCGCACTTAACGTTCAACGACTTTAAAATAAGCACCCTACCCCCTGTCATTAATCAATGACTGCCGTCCAATTCGTTTCTAGGCTCGCCATGCGTCGTTTTTACGCCACGAAGAAGCACGCCAACCTATCCAGGACGTTTGCGTTCAACCGGTGAGCCCGAAAGGGTTAACGAAGTAGCCGAGTTTACACGAACGGAACGCATCAAGATCGACCTACTTCCAGATAATAATAAGTCGCGGAAGTGGAACGGATCGAGCCCCGATAACGTATCGCTGAAACGAGTCTCTCGCAGCGACCGCTGTGAAAGAGTCGCGACCAGCACGCGTCGCGGTCTCTTTTAAATCCTGTTTGCAATTTTTTTACACGGCCACGGATAAGCGTAAATTTACAACCGGATCGACACATGGCGGAACAGAATCGCGAAAGCGTGCTCAAGCTCGCTGGTTTTATTTTTGAATTCGCCGCTTAATTGAACAGGGACAGAACTGGAGAGTACAAAAATGTAATAATGGATGAAACGTAATCTTCAATGCCTTTTTAAGGGCTTCTTTAAATTAAAGTGTCGTTAATTCTACTTCATACACGCGAAGAGGTTTGACTTTTAATAAGATAATCCCTATTTTATTACAAGCGTCTAATGAAGCAGGAATTCTCGTACGTATAACTAGCTGTGTCTTGCGGTTTCAACCGCGTGGGATACTATTCTTATTCTATATCACGTTCTTACATGTTAAATTCGAAGTTTCTAGATACATCTACGGAAATAAGGCAACTTTAAACCAAAATAATTGTATCAATGAGAATATCAAGACCAAGTATGAAGTAAACTCGATCCCGAACAAAATATGTCCCATACAAACGTTGCAACCCCTTGTCACCCCTTCAAGGGTTGAATTTTTTAAGATGCCAAAATAGATGTTTCATTAATTATATCAAAGAGTATTAAGACCAAGTTGCAACTCCTTCTTACTTCCTTAGGGGTTGAATTTCGAGATATCCTTTATTATTCCTTGTACACATTATAAAGTAAACCTCCGTGCAAATTTTCAGCTTTCTACGTTCAAGGGTTTAGCCTGGGCGTTGATGAGGCAATAAGTCAGGGCTTTCATTTATATATATATATATATATATAATTTATATATATATATTAATTTATATATATATAGATTACACCAACGATAAGAACTTTTCTCTACTTCGATGACTGCCTTCAAATGAAAGTTTAAAATTTTAAAACCTCCTTCTCGAATCGTTTCAGTGCCCTCTTAAACGCGAAATTACGATTGCCATTCGCGTCGACCAATATCGACAGTTTCTCGAAAGGGCGTACATCCATCCAGTCGAACTTTTCTTGTCATAACTTTATATTCTTCCCGCGCGTTCATGGATGCTGCAAACTTCTGTTCGCAGTCCAACCAAGGGATTTATTCCAGCGGAGTCCCGCGCCATGAATATCGGACGTTGAGGGGTCAGCGTCTGCGATGTGACACCAGGCAAAGTTTACGTTCCCAGCTGGAAGTTACTTATCTTTCTCTCCAAGTAGCACTCCGTCTTATCTGGGCGCCGTCCAGCAACCGCGGGACGTACTATGCTCATGAGCTATTAAACTCTGTTACGACTTCGACGGTAGTTCCTCGACGGTTTATGCGAGTCCTACGATTCGTCCAAGGGCGCCGCTAACGCTCGCCTCTAGCTGGGCGCGATCCAACCCTTGTTTATGTCTGTACACGCTATCTGAACGTCGCGAGAAGCACCTAACTGGGAATCGCTGTTGCTAACTCGACAGCAGCGTGGGCAGAATTTCAGGAGAGAGGGTGCAACTAAAAATTAATTAAAGGTAGATGGAATACTTTTTATTTTACCATTCCTTGGAAGTAGGAGGTTTAAGAAACTTTATTAAGGACGTGGAGAAAACGTTGGTTGAAGTTTCTTGGGTAGAATGTGATTCTTGTCAAGATATATTATTTCGTTTCTTAGCCCTTTCAGACCTTGAATCTTTTTATCTAGTACTAATGTAATTTAATTTTTAGGGTTAGACTAAAATTACTATGGAGAAAATGAAAAAAGAAGAATTAAACATGGACTTTACAAATTTCAGCTTTGGATTTACTGTTGCGTGTGATCACAGATCGCTTCTCAGCTTTTTCGATGTAAAGTATACGAGTTGTTTTACTTTTGATGGAAAGGGCTTTTCAACCGCTGTCGTTCAATCTTTGACCAAGGACCTGTAAGTTTGATCGTGGATCGTCTTCATCCACGATTAAGTTATAAACAAACTTTTAAAGAAACTGCATTGCTATCTATTTGTCTGCACCGTCAGTGATGTCTCATCAAACGACAGCGTTCAGTTATAGGGAATCAGATCAACCTGCTATCGCGTACAAATAACAGAATGTAATCAACTCGAGCATGAGTGCTCGGGATGTTTTATGAGCGGTAGGGAAAATGAAACTGGTTACAATTACGGAATCGTAAAGGCGGGAATACGATGCAATAAAACTAGGAATGATGGAACGTTTCTGCTGAGTTGCAAGTGCTGTTGCAGATGAGGCATGCATTAGGTGGATTGGGTAGTAACTTACATTTGGCGCCGGTCTATGAGTGTTGTACGTACCACAATTGTGTATCAAATTGGTCACCTGTTTCCACAATACCAAAACGTGCATAAACTCATACATGGAAATTCTGATGGCAACTTCATGGAATATTGTAAATATTTTTCTATTCCTGAATTTATCAATATGTAAAATTACTCTCGACAAATTAAAATAATATTCTATCTGTCCGTCCTGCAAGTCACTCTCCACTCGACCTCTTGCAATCTCCAATCCATCAACATAACATAACATAAACCCCCACCTCTGCCAACAGGCTTACAAGTACAAAATAAAACACCCAGTGATCGATAACCGCGGCTTTATTATTTACAAAATCCCTTCAGCTTCTACGCAAAGGCCTTGAGATCGGTGAGGACGACCCTCATCCTCGCTCTGAGCTCGTCCGCGTACCTGAGCGCGGACTCGTCGACTCTAACGTTCTCCATGAGGAATTCGCAGTCTAGATGTCTCGCGTCGCAAGCCCTGTGGTGGTGCTTCAGCACGTCTTCGGGATCGAAGTGATGGGCGCGTCTCGTAGAGGGGTTCAGCGTCGTCAGCGCATAATGGTTGTGCACGGTCAACGCACGTCTCGTAGAGACGAAGCTCTTGACCGAGTCGCCTTCAGGTGAGATGGAGGTGGCCCTGACAGTGTTCAGGTAATCGAGGTCACCCAGGAAGTCCGCGTCCAACGACGAACCCTCGGTTCGATTCTTGGTCTGCAGCTCGGGGAAAAAGTAAGCGTTCCTGACCGCGTACGAGGCGAAATCCTTGAAGCTCCTGCCCAGCCTGATCCTCTCGTCCAGCAACAGCTCGTGCCAGTTACGTCTCCTGGCCGGCACGATCGCCTCGTCGATATCGATCGGCAACACGAACTCCGAGCGATGAAGATTCTCGTAGAAGCAGTGATTGTAGGGTATCAGCTCCATCCGTCTCTTGGTCCAGATGTCCTCGCCGAGCAGACGCCTCCTGGCGTTTTTCTCGTTCGGTAGATCGCCTGGCAGCGTCAGATTGAACCATCTGATCACGTTCGATCGCTCGTACAGTCGGAGCACACGCAGCACGTTCTCGTGCACGTTGAACACGTAAAAGTAGAAGAGCTCCGCGCCAAGGATGCGATGGAGCTCGACGAACGCCACCAGCTTCGAGGAGATGTCCTCGTCGAAGTCCAAGCCCTTGATGCAAAGAGTGAACTGTCTGCGTCGATCATCCGCCTCGTTTCTCGCTTCTTGGCTTATCGCTAAACTATGACTAGCATTCTCGTGGCAGGGGTCCGGGCCCACGTACACTCTCGACGGCTCGATCGCGACGTCCTGGGGTAATTGACAGCCCACGAGCACGCCCGCGTAACTGTCCACCGTCTCGCCCCACTCGTTCAACCATATCGTCGATACCAGAGCCTCCACGCTGACGGACCTGCCTCTGGCTTCCTCCTCGTACCTGAAGAACAAAAAGAAATCGTTCAAGAATCTCCGGGAACTATTGCTTAATTGGTTATGAAGGATTAGAGGTGGGAATTGATGATAGAAAGGTGGTATTAGATTTTAATTGAATCTGTATGATTTAACAGAATGTTTATATCTCGGCTAATGTGATCGCAAGTCATATTATCACAGATGCAGAAAATGAAATGAAAATTAACCCTTTGCACTCTTAAGGCTACCTATACTGCCCAGACACTTGAAGTCGTTCTATTCCTACGGCCAGTGTCACTACCCACAATTTATCGTTAATTTTTAATAAGCGATGGGTGTCTAAAGTTCTGAAGGCTCACAACAATGTAAGAGTGCAAAAGTAACAATGTAAGACCATCTTAAGAATGCTACCGATGTATCTATTTTTAACGTTATTCGAAATTTCTTGATAAGGAGACGGAAAGAGAATGAATTATTTTCATCCTTGGTTGGAAGGGAAGCCGTGGCTGCTGGAACGGAGGCGATGGAGCTGAACGGCGGTGGTAAAGCGAAAGCGTGAATCTGTCCTAGAAAAATGGCTCACCAAACGGTGCAGAAAAGACCAGAGGTCGGCAGAGGTCCGCGTTTAACGCCAATCACCCTCAGGCTCGGATAACTGGCCACTCGGAGGTCCAAGTGGGCGCTGTACAGGAAGAGCTGTCCGGGGATTGTCTCGAGCCACTTCGCGTCGGCTAACTTGAACGTATTTAAGGTCGTTCCGTACGTTCCATTACCGTCGCACTCCTTGGAGGGTCTGTAATCGAGTGCCAATCTCCGCGCCCACGAGTAAGCCACGATGCTTCTTGTGCCTGGAGGTTCACCACCTAGAAAATGTGTCAGGAAAGCTAGTGAGACTACGGAGATTGAGATTGTGATAGTGACGTGACGTACGGGCAGGCTTCGCTCATTAAGGCGGAAGCAACGGTCTTGCGTTCGCGGTGAAATTAATTCGAAGATACCTCTTTGCCCTAACATTGAAAACTCTCGTTGCGCAACAGGCCAATGGTCGACGAATGGTACAGGGTTAGGGTCGGCATACCTTCGCAATAAGAGTTCTCGGCTTTGTTAGGAGTTAGGAGGTGATGTTGAAGTAATAATGGAGAAATTAAGATAGGTCGCTGGGATTATTTGTTATATTTTGTGATAGAAAAGATTGTTCGAGATAGGAGCATAATTTTATTTGGGGGCCATGGATGCGATGACTTTTGTTTATTCTATGAGATAGAAAAGAATGTTCGAGACAGAAGCCTAATTTTATTTAAGGGGATCATTTTATGCGGTGCGTCTTGTTTTTTTAATTTCAAATGAAAACATTTCAAGGTACTTCAAGCCCATTAATTTTCTTTCAAACGATAATATATGTTTTTTGTTTAGTTTCTAATAGCATCATCCAAACTAAATGAAGTGGCAAAAATCGGTTCTACAAAATGTTACAATAACCTCGACCGATTTTGTTAAGAAGAAAAAAGTTTAATCCTTTCAATTCCTTGATAGAGCTATCTACATTCGTCGACATAACTCGGAAGAAGACTTCTACTTCGACTCCGTCCTGACATAACAGTGTCCCAGATCCAACCACGCCAACGCCACCGCATCCCACCTCTATTTCACCGAGCTTTCATAACACGAATTTAATTTCCTAGCCTCTAATGGTTGCGTGTGTGGACGTGTCATCGTACACTACGAATAGAAAGCCTGCTCAGAGTCATCGGAGTCCTCGAACCGGACGGAAGCGTTGCGTCATCGGCTGTAGCCGGACGCTGTACGCCGTGAATACTATTGCGTGTTACACGGCGATCGTGGCACGTCCAAATAGTCCTTCCCATAATTCCCGTGTAATTTCCTTAATTCCCGGCCCAGACCGCGTCGATGCGCGTCACTGACCTCGGACGAGCGTCGATTAGTTGCGTACACAGAATTTCAATCGCCGCGTTCGTTAATTGGCTTCTAATAGCGAATACGCTTGGGCTGCGTACCGAAGGAAAACGAGTTTTCAATGGAGAGTCACGAATAGCGAGTCACGACCACGCTTGGGCCCGGCGACATTTTCATTTCTTTTCTTGCTGATCGATTCATTTAATGAATTTCCCGGTGAAATACGCAATTTACGCACGCACGCGCGCCGATTCGCGCACGGTGAATTAATGCGAGGAGCTTTAAGATAGGGTGGCTCTAGTTCCTTTAAGTCGATGTTAATTGTAGTGATCCGTGATGTTACTTTGGTGAACTATACATGTCGGACATTGAGAAATATTGTTTTATTTTTATCTATTAGGTGGACTGGAAAGTAATGTCGTTTTTGCAATTTTCAATACTTGTTTATCATTCATCAGCACATTGATTTTTATCGATCTAGCATTCAAAATTTGCACACTAAGTGGCAAGAGGGTGTTGATAACGAGAGCGATTATATAATTACTTAAAAATAAAAATTTATTAGATATTTGTTTGAATTTAATGTAAAAGAAAAGGAAAGGAAATTCCCAGATAAGCTTGAGAATTGCATCGAGAACAGAGCATTTTCGAGTCACAAACAACGGCAATTTCTGGGATCGAATAAACTCGTGGCCCTAAGCCTATCCGTGGTAGGTTCACGGGGGCCGGATTAATCCCGCGTTTCTGCCGTGTAAAACAATTTGTTCCGTTCGAGCGAAACGGCGATCCTAGGCGATGCCATGTACGCGCAGTGTGTCGTTAAAAGTGGTGTCTACGCTTGACCCAACGACCGCGTATTACGTGATGCGCGGTTATCCCTCGGCTTGGCTTCGTGCCCTTTACCAGCACCGACTTCCTCCTTTCCCTCTTCGACGCCACGGTTCGCCAACTTTACGAGAAAGTAAACGCTACTCTACGAGAACGTCCGGTAGAGGCGTTCGTACGTTACCTGCAGCTTTTATCCTCCATCTTCCACCCTCACCTGTTGATAATTATTTTATTCCATCGTACTTGTGCCCTTCCTATGCCTGAATATTTGCTTTAAAATTGCTTGACCTGTTTAGCATTTTTTGTGAGGAGTCTAATCACGTAACTATCAGCGAAAAATATATCCGAAATTGAAGACGAGTGCCTTTTGCACCTGGGATTATAAATGAGTGCTCAACTGAAAAATGAGAATTGTTTAGTCTCTTCTACGAGCTTGACATTAAATCATGGTTATGTTAAATCACCTTAGAATTGAATCATTCTTTAATCATTTATTCTATAAACAAACTATCAACACATTATCTGAAGGTATACTAGCATTTGAAGTGCTAATATGAACAAAATCTTTTTTTTGTTTAATTCCATGTCAGCATATACGTTTTTAAAAGATATTTCAACCTACCAAAATGGTTGAAAAATTAACAGTAATCTCAGATGAATCTGCCTCCTCGTAATTTTTGCATTTGGTTAACGAGCGAGTTCCCTTTGGCACACTAATAGGGACAATCACCCCTGCGCCCAGTGAAATCGCCTCGGTTGGGTTGTAATCGTAGGAACCGGGCACCTTGTTAGAAACCATGCAGGGGATTTTCCGTTTCATTGTCGGCCGTAATACTGGGAAAGTATTTATGGGCAAGAAATAGCGCGAACAGTGCTGCACAAATGTCTACTAGACTCGACACAAAAGTGCCTGGGGCACGTGGGAATTACGTCGTGCGACTGCAGACACCACTGTCGTATATTAACCGTCCTGTCAGCGAGAGGGCTTGCCTATTACGTCTCTTTTACTTTTCAAACCGTTTTTTTTGTCGCATCGGCTGAATACGTTCTATATCGGAGCTGTTTTTCCGAGGTAGAATTCATTCGAAATTTTATTTTATTGTTTGGCGATATAACTTATGCTACAATTTTTATATATTGTACTCCATTGTTTAATGGCTCTGATGAAATCCGATACTTGTGAATTTTTTTTTATCGAGCCCCTGTAGCTTGAAATGCTATGGACTAACAATGACTGAATGAACTGAATTGACTATTTCCATTATTTAGGCTAGAATCTTCAAACACTCCTTACATAGAAAATTGTTAAATTGTAATCTGAATTTAGTAGTTCAGCATACAATGGATAAATTTTACGAACAAGTAATCTCAGATCTTGTACTTTCTTCTGATTTTATCTACGTCTAATTTATTCTGGATACGTATCAATTCGAAAAAATGTCTTGAACAGTACGAGTGTCCCCGTCATTTTCAATAACCACCTCTGTTCTCGGACTGTCACTCTCGAATCTAAAATCGTTTCATCTTCTGCGATTATGTCACCCAGTAACGGTCTTGGACAGCGCCGTATATTCCGCGAAACTTGCACCGTCGCGAATTGCTATCCGAGACGTTCATAAATTTCTCACTTGCAACGTGAGATCACTTCTTGCACCGACACGGACAACACAGCTTAAAGGCTAAACGGTCTTGACGGATTTCTGTAATTAACGCTAAGTGCTATAGACGCTGCATATCAAGTTACTAAGTACTGGGTAGCAACACCACCGCGATTGAGAACTGAACTACGTTTTACAAGGTATCAATTAATATTTTTTGTTCGCTAATCAGACTTCCCCTTCCGTCCTCTCGTGGGCAACAAGTAATTCCGGTAAACGATTTGACGTATTTACCGTCCAAGTTCCTATCGAACTGCTGTCTTTGCAAAATTGAGTAATCTTTGCTGGAACGTAGGAAATTTTTCGTTCTCTAACTGTCAATGTTTTGAATGTTACTTTAATTTAAGATTCATAAGACCTATTCATAAGATTCATTACAACATTTAAACGGTTTTCTAAGGGCACTATAATGCCAGTTTTTGTTAGATTCAAATATCCAACGAAACATAAAAAGAATTTCAACCCAACCCATCCCATAGTTTCGTTACAAACAATTCCCGAAACTACTTCTGTTCGAGGCTCGTTACATTATTATGCTGCCTTAACAGCCTCCATTAATCTCCCCACCCTTCTGAGCATACCAACAATACCGCCAGCTTATCCTCACCTATTCTCGAATCCCTCGAAACATCTGACAAACGCACCAAGCCTATCTAATCCCCCCGAGCATCGTGGCTCGTACGCGAAAGAAGCGGGTATTGTTAGGCGCGAAAGGCGCGTTAGCATCCGCTCGGGTTGCGAACCATTCAGCGATAACGAAAAGGGCAAGGGTCGCGGCGCTGTCGGGGGCGACGGAGCGCGGTTTAGCCGCGTAGAAAACTGCTTACCAGGCGTGGGAGGTGGATCCGCTGGTGGATCCGGGAGTTGCGGCGGCGAATCTAGCAGAGTCAACACGCACAACGCGGTGACCAGCACGGCGGCCAGGCCCACTCTGCATAGCCTCCTGGTCCCGGCGACCGACATTACTTTTTTCACGTCCCCGTTCGTCTCCTCTCGGTCACCAGTTCGAGTTTCGTTCACCGAGCAACGCGGGGAATGCTCGTCGAGAAATCCATGTTCCCGCGCGATTTGCAATTCAAATCCGAAGGTTCCGGAGCCGTGGAATCGTTCGGCGATCAAAGCTCGCGGAGACGACCGATTCGGTCGTAGGTAAGGTATAGGCCGCTGCTGCGCCTCGCAACCATCGAACGTCACTATAAGGGAAGTACGAACGTCCAGCTTTGACACGGGGACCACCAGAGTTCGGAAAGTTGATTATTAAAAGTTCCACACAGAGGTCCTATTGGTAGAATGTCTAGACAAGGTGAGGGTGTAGAATCTCCATGAAGCTTTAGAGGGGGCCCGTGACACGATTTCTTGAGATCCAGTTGCGACCACTCGAATTCAAGATTTCAGTGTCGGAAGTTGCACACTGAGAATCCTACAATCAGGATGTAGAATCTTCTTTAATAGAGTGCAGAATCTTCTTTAGCACATTATTATCAGAAGGCCTGTACCAGTTCTATCTCTCACATTTTTACTTTTTCACTCTTCTTACCATAAACCTTGTAATCTGTTGCCTAGTGTCCCCATTTCAACAACCATTGGCGCAAATCACCCAGATCACCGTCTCCTCATGGATCACCGCGTGCGATGAACGGATAACACACTCCCAGATCGAATTCGTAGCAACACGGCGGATCGATCACCGCGAATCAGGCTTTTCAGGTTCCCCTCGCCTCGCTGCTTTGCATAACACGCTCTGCTACACTTTCATCTCTCCCGAACGCCTCTCCGCGTCGGTCTAATGATCTAGAGGAGGCGCCGGCGACATATATACGCCTGTCCCAGGACTGGTTCACTGGAATTGCGGAAATCTGGAATTTATAGGACGCCGTTGACGCTGCAAGCGCCGAGGCGCGCGCGTTCAGCGCTGAAATTGAAAGTTGGCACGCGATCGCACCTGATCGACGAGCTTCGATTCGGATCTCCTCTGTGACTATGGTTTCTTCTTTCCAGCACTAGCCTCTCGATAATCGTGCGTCGACCGATCAAAGGAATTCTTGAAATCGTCTCAAACAAAGACCAAGACTTCTTCCAGGAAAAGTGATCGGGACTGGTGCCTGAACGGGACGTGCAGCGAGGCTGTTTAATAGTCGCGCGTGTGGCATCCAAGGTGAGCACACGAATCTGTCTTCTCGGGGTGCGTAAAAACCGCGCTGGAAGGAGCTCGACCTCCCACGCGTAGCTCCCGCTTCTTCCCTTGGCTACGTAAGCAGCTGGACCATGTATGGTCGTCCTCCAAGCCTTCGAGCTACTCCCGAGAACGTCGATAATCTAATTAACCTGGTACCTTCGTCGCTTTCAACGTTTTTTGCATGCCACCGTTTCTACCGCATCCCGTCAATCCTGCTCGGTCGCCTCCCCTTGTTTGCGTTCTTTTTTCTTCCACCTTGTCCCGACGTTCTTTCCTATTCGATCGTCGGACCGCGAATCGGAAGGGCCAATGGGGTAGTCGGTGCAATTGTTCACCGAATCATCTGTCAGAGATCCTCGGAACGGAATATGTTGCAAGGGATCTCGTTTCAATTTCAATCGTGAACTTGCCTCTCGCTGTTCAGGATGAATTAAATCGGAGCAACTCGAATCGCTCGACGCCGGTCGTCTTTAATAAACTCGTGACATTTATGTTTCTTCTTGGTTTCCATTCTCCTTCTTATTAATCGTCTTCGTTCTTGATTACTCCTTGGTCGCTGTCGGAACAACTAGTATCGCCTCTTCCGCTGTTTGCCGTCTAACGATGGCCTAGAATAGCCGCGCGACCTGTGCGGACATCCTTTCACTGGCCTGCTAATGGAATCTTGAAAAGGTAGACTTATTCTTGGCATTCGGGAGCAGGGGCATCTTCTAGGAATGCTATTTTCCGTTCTTGAGGATGTGAAGCTTTTCAGTGTTTCAGACAATTTGAATTCGTAGGAATTTGTAATGGCGGAGTGGAGCACATCACCTCTGCTACGTCAGCTGATCTGTGATAGAATGACCTCGGTTAATCTCCTTGGTCTATGATTTCATTAACCATTTTGGAAACATACTCTTGCTGTCAAATTAAGTACACAAATGTTTGAGAATGTAGGCCTACAAAGACTCATGATCTACTACTTTATCGTGTAATTTAATCGATAGTCTCAAGACCTAAGTCGGTGTTCCAAAAAACCACTGTGACATCCATCCTGCCACCGAATCATAGACATCTGGATCTCTCAATCGAATATCTTATCCCTATTTTAATCCTTTTCTTTTTTTCTTTCTTCTCTCAATTATCAAAAAATGTCACTCAGTTGTCCTCAGAATCTCCACACACGGACAAATTTAACCAAAACAACAGCAACTCACGCCCCCCAAAAATTGCCAAATTCGCAGCCCGATTCTCGCAACGATCAATCGTCAATCGCGAAGAGTCTCATTTATGTCGCGACCTTTCCCACCGTGCCAAAATGGCAACATCTTCCACCTAGAAAGCGTCATCGTCAGTATTCGTTTCACTTCCGCGTCGGCCGAAAACACGTGGTCGGTAGGTCACCCAAACACACCCGGCACCCGTCGAACGTCGAAGGCGCACGTGGTCGCGGATCGACCGAGCGGATTGGTGCAATCTCGCTTGCGCGAGAGTCCGGAGCGTACTGCGTTCGAGCGAGAGGTGAACGCGCCACCAGAGCCGCCAGAGTCCCGACGGCTTTGGACCCGTTGCCTTAGCGTTTGCCTCGCCATCCCTACTCGGCTCGCTTCTCGCCAACCTAGCTCTTCCTGGCACCAACTCGCCTTTGCTTAGCTACTCTGCTTTGCTCCTCGACTGGATAGTTAGTCGACTTTACCTTGTCGCAGCCTTGCCAGCCACACTGCCGCGACGCGTTTCCCTTGCTCCTATTTTCACATTCGCTCCTGGATTTCCGCTGGGCCCAGTGGAGGATTCTCCCTTGAGCGCCAGTTATGTTGTTCGACTTGGTGGTCGATGATCAGGGGTTTCGAGTGCGTGGATGATTCTGTGGATCGAGGAAGAATTATGTAGGCTGGGGTTAGTTGAGTCATTGGATAACAAAAGATCGCTTGAGTTATGTTTGATCGGGAATTTTGGGGATGCTGACGGACTGTGTTGAACTTTGATCCACCTTAGGTTCCCTTATTAAGTACGCATCGAGTCAGAGAGTCTGGTTCGGGATTGTTAACATTTGGAAGACTTTATGGAATAGAGTGTCGTGGATTGAGATAACGATTACTACGGGGATGTGTTTAGGAATCAGTTAAATATCACTTTCCACAACCGTGAGTATACTTTGTGACAAAACTCAAGTTCCAAAATCTTCAAAAAATTCACCTCAACATAGTCTTCTAATTGCACCAGTGACGCCATCAACTACTTTCCGTAAATAGCCAATCTCAAAACTATGTAGTACATCGATAGCGTCGTATAGTCTAGTTTATTTCAATTTCCTTAGAAAGTAACAAGGACGGCGTAGGAATATGCAAATCGACATTTAAATATTTACACGCCACTTGAGTGTACTCAATAGCCCCAACTTTTTCCGATTGCCAACTTGTGAGTCGCCTTGGGTACCTGTCGATCGGGGATTTCCTTTACCTCGCAGCTCGTTCTTGTTTCTTCTCTTCGACTCGATACCCCAACGTCTCTTTTTTCCTCGTTTGGACGACCACCATGAAGCATCCGCCACTCGTTGTACTTGTCAAAGCGTATTGCATGTTGACCGATGGCGGATACGGCGACGAACGAAGGGGCGAGTTCATTTAAACCATCCTGACGCCGTCCATCCAAGTGATAGGGGCTTGGAACTTTCCCCCGGAAATTGCTTTAAACTCAGATTCGCTGGAGCTACGTCTCAGGCACGTGCAAACAGACTGGAACGAGTCATTATAGCGTGGGTGGCGTGAGCTGGACCGGATAGGTTTGTAGTTAATGCAATCATAAATGAAATTCGTGGGCGCGAAATGCAATTACAGGAGTGGATGATGAGTAGCCAGCACTGCAGACTAATTACTGTACAAACAATCTTGGCGCCAGACTGAGAATTGGATTATTAGCACGTGTAAACATGATTTTAAGTCTCGATATATTTTTTGAGAAGGCTCAGTATTTTTAAATACAACTTAATAAGAGAATTAATATATCGAGTTCAATACTTGAACTGTAGATTTTCTCTTTGGATTGATATGTGCATTTATGCCTGTACTTCGTCTAAAAAATTATAGACTACGCGGCATTAAAGCTGGATTTAGATTTTCTTATAAAATAGTGTCCTATAGATCAGTCGATTAAGGGCGTACATCCGCGAGAAGCTTACCATAAATTCACCCTAGAAGATAAATTGAAGATGAAGAAGCTCGAGATTTATCGAAGAACTACTTCGGACGCGTTTTAAATTATTCAAAACTCCCTTATTTATATTACTAGCTTGCGTGGCACCGCTATTAAATATCCGCGTTGCGCGTAAATATATCAAAATATAAATTCACCGAGAAGAAATTTTATTTAAAACAAGCCTTGTACAGGACGAAGAAAAAGTCGGAGCAGATTAGTGTTAAATCAAATTCCCAGCGAGAGCAGCTGTCGCGAATGGAGGAGTTGAGCAATTATGCTCGTGTTATCCGCCAAAAGGAAAACTCGGCGAACCCAATTTCTCGGATATCAATCGCTTCCCGTGCTCGCTAACGTTGTGTAGTCGCGAGTAGAACGTCGATCGCACCTCGAGAACCAGGAATTACGGTCGGGAAACTCGTATCGGGAAACGTGTGGTGTCTGCTCGTGGTACGATGCATATCTCATAAAACGGGAACAGCTAAAATCAATCAGAACCGTAGAATCATTTCCCCACTCTGTAATTGCACGTTCGCCAGTAGATAACGCCTGCAAAGGTCAGACAACCACTCGAACGATCGACGTAGAGTTACCGCTAACGGTAACGTTATCGATAAATATTGGTTGATATCGATAGTGTGCACTGAACCAAACCTAATCCAGTCCCGCATTATAGATACTTATCGATAAATTGAACCGTAACCCGTTGCAGTATAGCGAGGGCTACGATATCTGTCTAAAACACACGCGATGATGTTGTAGGTATGGGAGTGGTATGCGGGAAATTGTTGTAGAAGTAGGATAATGTGAAATGGTTGAGTTTATTCGTGTATGTTATGGTGTTTTATCAGGTTTTAGCGTGAAGCAGAACTCTGTGAGGTTTAAACTGGTTTGAATGTAGAATTCGAGATGTCTATATAAGATTACTTCAGGTGAAGAGTTGATGGTTTCGTTTTAAGAGTAAGGTAGAGAACGTGTTTATTGTATCTTAATGTTTGCGTATAGATCGAAGACTTTCAGAATGATTGAAAGAAGGTTCGTGAATGAAAACAGGTGTGAATAAAGTGCATTACGTTGTGGGCTGTTGGGTTGTGATTTTTTGCATGAGGAACAGTTTTGGGAAAGCACCTGCTTTGTTAATTAAGTCGTGTATTTCTCATTAAAATTTTGTCACAACCCGGACTTATCGAGCTGATGTCTCATCTTGGTCTCGTTGAAAGACAAAGTATTACTGCGAACCTAGCTTCAGAATCGATAAAAAGAATACTAATGCATCCTATATTAACCTCGCCATGAGCCGTATCAAATGTCTTTAACTCTTATACAATCATCTTTACCGTCCTAAATGGACATGACTTACGCTTTCAGCAATCTCCATAAGTATTACACTGACCTTGCATCCCTTCACCAGGTTTCTCATAATTTCAACAGAGTTCGAGTTATCACCCCGATAATAAAACCACCTGTTTCCAATTGAATCCAGTTCCCCAAGATCATGAATAAACAAGTGGATTAGTTATTCGAACGCCTAACACGATATCAAAAATAAATGTCGGAATCCCCAAGCTGGATCCAGAGCTGATTCGATGCGTAATCGCTGGCCGGATTTGGTAACGGCAGCCGCGACGAAACGGCGTGCGAAGAGGAATCGCTGACGGGACACTTCTTCCTCTGCATAATGCACCGAGGGGAACGCGACGAGGCATTAGGCCCTGGGCGTCCGTCCGCAGCGCGGAGACCGCGAAGGAGTAAGAAAGGGTCAGGCGCGCATCCGTAGAATATAAACGGCAATCAGTCCGAACTTATTATCGCGGGTAAGAAACTCATAAATGCTTATGACTTTCGTGCCGGTTTTTACTGTCACCTTCGGGCGATCCAGTTAAAAGACCGTTTGCCCGGATTGATCGCAGCTGAAGGAGGACAAGAAGCCTGGCGCGGGGAACGATATGGAGAAACTCGAAAGGGAGAGTGACGGGGAGTCGCGGAGAGAGAAAATGGGAGAAGAGGGAGAGGAAAAATGTGCGAGGAAGGATGGAGAGGACTGGAAGGGAGAAAACGAAACCTGTAGGGAACGGGAGATCGTGGAGATAGCGATGGGGGCTTCGAGGGTCTAGCATGTTGTTTATTCGCGGATAGGAACGTTCACGTGTTCGGTCTGATTTGCAGGTATTTGGAAAATTGGAAGGTTTATTTGTTAGGGTTCGTTGGAAGGGAATTGAGTTGATCGTACACGTCACAATTCATACATCGTACTTCAAATGGGACAAATTACGCATTATACATCACAATGCACACGTTACAATTTACACCCCAACCGTCAAACACGCCGATTCATAAGTTGGTTTTAAATATCACAAATCACACAAGCTTCGTCCATGTGATCCAGATTCCGTTAAAACTCGAAGAAACCGTTACAGATTGCTCAAAGGGAACCTATTTTACATCAAGAGCCCATTCAAGTCTTGACACGGAGCCTTTAGAAAACAAATTACCTATCTATCCCTCAGCCCCACCTCGAAACACGTCAACAAACCTGTTCGAATCCCATCACTACGAGACTGGAAGCCTTCTCGAGACGGAGAGGAAGGCAGATTAGAGGAAGCGGATAGTAGGGGAAAGGGAACGGTCCATGAAAGCCTCTTCGACGTCATTTGTAATACCGTATGGCCTAATGATGCGACTGGTCGTGACAGGACGCGGATAAAAGTAGAAGCGCGCGATTGTGGAGATTGAGGGTGCATGCAGAGCGCCCGTGGGTTGGGACGATCCTCTTTGCGACCGCTTGCACGGCTCCGTCGATTGTTAAGGGCCCAATCTCGGTGAACACTTCCCGGCACGTAATGGTGATTTGCTCGATCGCAGAAACGGAGGCACTTCTGCGATTTCATCGAGCAATTTTTGCACGCCTCGAATGCCAGTTATTGCGCGCGTGCAGCGTGCAGGATGTCCCCGTAATATCGTTCGTTTGCGGGCACCATGCTGTTTCGTCGCCAAAGAACGTCCCCTTCGTTGTGCCGTTGTTACCTTCGTTTCTGAGAATCGTGTGACCAACCTTTTTGCCGAACCTATTCCCCGCGGCGAATTAGATCTTCGGGGAATTTAACATCCTTCGAAAAAAGCGAGCGTGAAGATTTAATTATAGGCGAGTTATTTTTCTAGGACGTGAGACAATTGGGGAACTAGTAGTTCAGACGATTATGTATATCACTCATGTACAGTTTTCAAGAAATGAAACGTTTAGTCTACTTTATATGACTTTTCATTAAATTCGAGGTACTATGTCTCTTATATACCTCAAACTGTATAACAAATATATTAAATATGTATGTATATATTCAACATGGTACAAGGGCTTCTGGACCGGCGATGGTTCAAAGTCATTTTTCTATAATAAAAAAAAAAGAGACTCTGTCTTCATGTTCATTAAATTTCTGACATACACGTGCAAAGTTCAATTGCGAACGTAATAATCCACGAGAAATCTATGAAATGAGTTTGATTTCTCATGAATCATTAATAGCAGTAAATCTTCAACCTCTTCAACCTCAACTCCAAGTAGTATTTACTGCTGTCACTCATTCAATGCTTTGTACCTAATTTACAAAATTTCCAGATATATTCATCATCTCTCCCCTAGAGTCGCTTCCTGATCCACGAGAGAATTACAATGACAAAGAATAATAACTGACGTAAACGAGCATGTAAAATGACAACCGTCTCGAAACTCGCGTTACAATAGCGAGAGCGCCATGAATCACGTGGCGAGTACCGATTAAGAATTTCAATTCGCGCGACACGACGGGAGATCTGTGTCGCGTAAATCTCAAGCAAACTACTCGTCGTGTAGAAAAAGGCAAAGACTGTAAGAGGTAGGCATTACTCACATGAGGTCTTGCGCGGCGGCGCTCTAAAACGCGCGATTTATATCTACAAGTGGGCGCGTGTCAAACCCGAGAAAAGAACCTGCCCACACAGGTAGTATCGAAAGATGGTGGAGATTGCGTGGTATGTTTTACCGTATCGCAGCGTGAAATTATACGGCTGAGGACGAAGAAGGGATCGGTGAACTCCCAATCTTCGAGGGACCGATCGAGGAAAAAAGTTTCGCCGTGCCAAATGTGGAACAAATCGGTTGGAAGTGTTTTCTTTGGTTTCATTCTGGGATCGAGAGACGGAACTCTTGGAATTTCGTTTGCTGAATGGACTTGAGCTTCGGGACAAGTAATCTTATTAAAGTCGTCTTATAAAGGATCAAAGGTGGATCAAGATTTTCGGGATTTTCGTAGATTTAAAAATAGACGATTCTTAGGAAAATACGGAATTGAAATAATTTCAAAAATTAGTCTAAAGTTGATATTCTTGAAATTATTCTTGGAAATTAGATACAAAGCATCGAACAAGTGACAGTATTAAATATTACGCGAAGTTGAGGTTGAAGAGGTTAAAGATTGACTGTTATTAATAATTCAAATCAATCGATTAAATCAAATTCATTTCGTTCATTTCTCGTGAATTCGTTATTACATTCACAATTAAACTTCGTGACACAGGGTGTATTCGACGTCAACTCGAAATTCCATTCACAATTGCGCGGAATGCCGCACCTAAAATTGTTGTTGGAGTAATGAAATGCACGTCCAAGCTCGTTCAAGTCTTCGGGAGTAATCATAAGTAATGCGAGGAATACTTACGACATGCGAATAATTGGTGGCTGAACGTTAAATCTCGGTCTGGTCTGAAAAATTAGCAGTCGTTAGGCTTGGAGAACTTCTGTTGTACATAAATAATGATTCCTGGGTATAAAAACAATTTTATGTTCGCTTCTGGTTTCTCAATACCATCGTCGAGCGTTTATTAGTGCTTCGAGTCAATGATACAAATGGCCCCACGAGTCTGACGTCTGCAATCACAGACTACTGAATTTATCCCTTAGCACTTTCCTGGCGCCGTTTCTACGACACTTATTATATATCTAACGATTCAAGTCACATTAATGGTAAATCGAATTATATTAAGAAAACGTACAAATGAAATTGGAATTACAAGTGGTCTGCTAAGAAAGTAAAGTAGGCAATCCGTTTATAATTATCATATTCTGTTGGATAACTTCATCTATTTCTAATTTTAAAAACAATTGTAGTATTAATGATAGTCGCGGAATGTTTTAAAGATTAAAAGCACGTTAAAATAACGGTTTGGCTGTTAATGGTAATTTTAATTATTATAAGACTTGTGGAGGACTCATCAAGTAAGGTTGATGAAGCAAACCTTGCCTTGGACGTGAGTCGATGTAGCGAATGATTCCTATATAAAGGAACTAGATAGCGATACGCGGAAAACCGTTTTTCGCTGTGATGAACTAACATACCTTTATATAGGAATCAATCACTACATCTACTCGTGCCTTTGCTATATTAGCTTCGCTGATGGCTTCACGAGCCTCTCTGAAAGAAAACCCATGGTTTTTATGTAACTCTCATTTAATTAAAATACAAGATCAATCTAACGATAGAAACCTGCACTGAATTAATTAAAACGATCGTTAATAGCTAAGCTTTTGAAATACAAACGTTTTAGATTGGTAGCTCCGTTCACGAAGTTTATAATCGTTGAGAGTTCTTCATAAATTTACAAACGTTGCAAATTCAACATAGCTCTTTATAAATCCTTTCAAAAATTTATGAATTCTTCATAAATTTACTCTAAATTTGTACACTTTTTAAAATGATTAAATTATTTACAAATCGATACAGTTTCTACAAATATCTCATGTATAAGTCTGTTAGAAATTGATAAATGCACCAAAAATTTATTAGGGATTGTCAAATATGCTCTGAATTGGTTACAAATATATAAATATATAAACGTACAAGGAATGATTTTGCTGGCTTAAATAGAAAATCCCAGACCGAACGGGATGCAAATGACAAAGCGTCGAATGGTGTCTGGGCCCCATTACAGTCCCGAGAAGAAAGGGACGCCACGTCTCCGTCGATCGATCTTCCTCCGCGCGCAATTTCATCGTTCCCGTTGATCAACGTGACTACGCGCGTGCATCCTCGCGCTATGGATCGACACGTAGGCGTAGCGCTCGCGCGGAAGAGGAAAGGAAATCGCGACGGGGCCACTCTCGAGGATCTCCTTCGTCGGTTGGATAGATGGAACGCATTATTCACCGTCGCGGGCGCCCAGCCAGCCGCGATTCTAACCGCGGTAATATGCTCAGGCAGCTCGATGCAGCGTGCCGCTTGCATCGATCTTGTCCGATATATCGACGAGTCGATGAAATAGTAAATCAACGGGAGGTCACGGGATGCGCTGATAACGGCTGAGACGACGTGGTGGATGGACAGTGGCGTGGTGACACTGAAATGACTTTCTATAGAATTCTGAGAATTCTGAGCATACAGTTAGGAACATTAAATAAAGAATTATTAAAAAAAAAAATACTTTCAAAGATGGCTACCTACCACTTAGAACCACAATGGATCACTTAATCTCATTCACCATGAAACACAAAAACAGCAACACTAAACACCAAACAAATTAATCGCGATTCAACCATACCCTCTTCCAATAAAAATGAAAAAAAAAATCAATCAGCGATCGAAAATCTCTCGATTCTACTTCGGGAATTACGTAGCCTCAACGCCAGTTTCTTCGCGCCGCGGGATTTTCCGCTAGACAGATTTATGCATCGGTAATTACCCTCCTATCGCGGCCAGGCTAATAGCCAAAGGCACAGAAGACGAGCGGATAGTCTCGTATCGAACTTATTGGAACGACAGCTGTTCAATGTCCAGCTCCACCGCTGGTGGACGCCTGGGAGTCGCCCGCAGCGAGACTCCTATCCGTGCAGCGAATGATAAAACCGTACGCGAGCATAATCTTCGACTATGGTCAATCGTACGAGGATAACTGGCATTCTTCGGCGCGCTTTTATCGCGCAGCTATTTTGACTCAGGGATACGGAGCGGAGATAAGTAAAGGAACGATGTCTACGATACTGGGTGTCTCGCGTAAACGTGATGGTAACATTTACAAGATTAACGTCCTCACCGAGGCGCGATTAACCGAACAGACTACTTTCGAGACGCGGTAATCACTGCGCGAGGCGCGAAGAAATAGGTTTCAGGAGTTTACACGTGTACGGTAACTGATGAAACGTATGGGACGGTGATTACCACCGGGATTACTGCCGCGATTGCTCCCGCATAGTGGTTTGGCAGCCTCGCAGCCGAGTGTCCTTTCCTTCTCGATTATACGGGGTACCAATGGTGTATTATGGCTCTATGAGGCCCAAGGCACGATGAAATTTCATGATAATAGTCTGCGGATCACTAGCCATTAATTACTGTTACCACTTTACTGTCTACAGACAAATTAAGTGGAGGGCATTCTTTCATTCAGGCTTCACTTTCGAGACAACGTAACAATTTATATAACACAGGAGAAATATACGATAAAAATAAATATTTATCTTCGATGAAATATAAATACACATATTTTATTCTCGAAATTAAATGTAAATACAAAAACTCTATACAATATTAAATGTACAATAGTTGAAGTTTAAATCTAATCTCGGTGCCTTCTGCTTCCGTGTATAATGTCTCAGGAACTAAGATTAAATTGAGGAGACCACGAGAACATACAACAATATAAAAATTCTCAGACAGAAACGACCGTACAATCGTGGGAACCAGTGAAAATGATTCCAAAGCTCGGCGGTCATGAATCATATACGATGCAAGTCGATACCAATAATTTACGTACCACGAGGCTCGACACTGATGACTTCGTGGTTGGAGAACCCGATACTGATGATTTCCGAATCGCATCATCCATTATCCAACCCGTGTGACCTGCCATTAACGGCTAACTATCGTCAGTTAAAGTAGTTATTAAATTGATCGGATTTCTTTCGCGAATAAGTGATTAACGGAAGCTTGTTTACGCCGAAAACCATTCTTCTCTTGCACAAGTTATTCTCTTCGAAACGAAGTCGTTAAAATTGATTAAAATTCATTCTCCATAAAATTACATACTTTGTATTTACTCCCTTGAACGATTTGCATATGTACGTATCTTTAACTATTACATCCGTATATATAATAATAAAATAACACAGAATTGAAACTATTTTATTAGGATGGACTAGGATTCATTTCCTACTGGAAACACTATCTTAGAGTGAACGTAGCTGGTAATTAAGAAGCGTACTGTTCGGTACGTTCCCGCCGTGGCAGTTTTCAATTAACCGGACCCTCGTAACGCTCGTCTACTATTAACAGTAGCATGCGCGGGCAAGAAACGACGTGCGTGTTGTGATGAAAATGAATAAAAAGCGCGCCGATGGAGAGGTCTTGGTCCATCTCGCGACGTCGACTTTAGCGTGAAAAACCAAATGAATTTCGTGCGGTCATTCGACATAAATTTAACGCGCTTGCAAAAAACGCTTCGACTGCGTCATCGAACTGCTCGGAGGTGAGAAGAAATCGCTCTGTTACCGTTCTTCGCTGCCTTTTCTACGTGGCAATTTGCATGTCCCACTTAGGTCGCATAGGTGTGTTATACCGTGATAACGCGATCCACATAATCGCCGAGCAGGATCATGATAGGTGTGTTACTGTTTTAGAATTATTTTGCCTTTTTTTCGTTGAAGTCACATGTGCCAGGCTTGGTGGGATTATTGGAATAATTATTCAACTCTATGGTGTTCTGCATTGCAGTTTGTCAAAATTAAATTCTTCTGAATTGTTTTACGAAAAATGATTCCAATATATTCAATTTCAGAAATGATATTATAATTAGGCTTGCAGAATAAATAGATTGGCAGGTGAAGTTTGAGAATCATACGATCATTTTTCAATAAAAAGAATATTCAGAGATTGCCCAATTCCCTGGCAAAAATGTAAAAACTTCAACTAACATTGCGCTGTAAAGTAATTCTCCGTCAGTCGTCAAAGTATTCATTTCACAAATTTATTTAAAAATATTCGAGTTCATCTTCGATTTATCCTCGCACGTCGCGTCGGCCACAAATGTTAGATTCCTTGAAAACATGTAAAATTCCGGTCGTGACACGATTCGGATTCTAATCCGCACGTGCCGCTTGTATCGCTTCACGCTCGATGAAATATGGATTTCGCATGGGACGCGCGTGGGAGAGAGCACCACGCGGGGATACAATAACGTGCAGCACTTACGCGGCGCGAGGATTGAGCCGTGAGGACGAGTAACGGTTCGAGGCGTATTTTTTCACAAATTCAGCTCTTGACACAGTAACTG